AACTCCTACCAGCTCACTCTGTAGACACAGTCTTTCCACTTCCCAATTTAAATTCTCAGGGAAGAGAATCTGGTTGGCTCAGCTTTGATCCTGTGTTTGCCACCATTTGGTTCACTGTTGTAGGGCCTCCTGGAGCAGATTTGCCTAGCAGTGTGCCTGAGCCTAGCAGGCTGGCCGGGGGTGAGTGCAGATGAGGGTGTTCATGAGACAGTGGTGTCCTGGCACCTGAGGCCTAAGTTCCAGTAACGGACAGGATCAGTAGATTTAAATGGTTCGAAATGTGGTAAAAAGAGTAAGGAGTTGGCAAAGGAGTTAGCCTAGTTTTAAAGTATTACCACAGCTAATCCACGTAGAAGAATCACAGAGTGGATAACCAGGGGCTATGATAGGTATTCATTTGGATCTGGAAGAAGAGAGATTTTTTTTAAAGTGAAATTTAATTTTGGAGTTGTATCAGAAGCATTTAAAGCTTAGTTTTAAAAAGCAGTGATTTTTATTGCTTCCTAATACTAAAGCATTTTTATATCTTTATTCTTATTGTAGAATATGTAGTGTCTCTTGTGTCACCTGATAATGAGAAATTCAGTAAAGCTATTCTAGAACTCATTTATTTTTCATACCCCTGCAAGTTCATAAAATAATCATAGCTTATTTCCACATCTTAGTTTGCAGTGCCTTCCATAGTATCGTGCCAGGTCTTGTGAAGAATCCCTTGTAGCCAGAGCCAACCTTTGTCCCAAAGATTATAAAGTCCGCCTCTTGGGTATATGATAAAACAACTCAAAAATTATCTGAACCCTTTTTCTTCTGCCCAGTAAACCCTGTTATGTCCCTCTGGCTTTCAAATTATTTTTAGATGCATAGTTCAAATGTGTAGGATTAAGCTTCATAGAATTTAAGAATATTTCACTGATTTAAAGTACCTGGTATTGGCTAGTAAACATAAAGTCAGGTTTCTCAGTTAACCAATATTTGACAACTTATTACTACATTTCCATATTATGATAGGGATTAGGGCACATTGACCCCTAGATTCCCTTAGAATCAGGGAACCTGCAGAAACACTGTACAGTCTTCGTGATGCTTGCCCACTAGTTAGAGGTAGTAATCCACTGAAATTCAGGTTCCAGGACCTTGGCGTAATATCTGCTAGGGTTTCTGAGCGAGTGTTTGAGTGCCCTCTGGAGGCTTTATGAACAGTGAAAAGACGATACTTGTGAAAGATTTTTTTAACAGCCAGTGTACTCGATGGTTCAGAGTGGTGCGCATGTCATTTGGGAAGCCATGGGGACACTAGCCAGCACTTAGGGAGGGCAGGAGCTCTCCAGGCAGGCTGGGAATTGGGGTTTATGTAGCGAGCAGAGCCCAGAGGCCGCTGAGTCACAGAGGTGAGCCGAGGGAGTGTGATGGGAGATGCCCAGGAAGATGGGGAATGACAGACGCCTTTGGGTTTGGCCAGGAGGAGCTTCAGTGCTGTGGAGTCAGGTTGAGGAATGAATGGGAAGTGAGCCTGTAGAAATTGAAGAAGCCTGGATGGGGAAACCGGGGCTAGGGGAAGGACGAATGACAGCTGGAGAAGGCTTAGGATTAACTATTGGTTCTCCTTAAGATAGAAGAGACTTTGCATGGTATTTAAATGCTGGAAGAAGAAAAGTCCAGAGGAAACGGTTGAAAGCTGAGTAGGGTTGCGGGGGAAGGAGAGACTTGGCTTGCAAGTTCCTAGCTGGGGTCATTGTTGAGGGAAGATGTTGCATTTTACAGGGACTTGGAATATGATGAATTAGTGATTTTCAGTTCTTCGTGGGATGATGGGGAAATATTCCCATAGGCAGTTGGCAATACAGGTAAGAAGACAGACTGGTTATAGGAGAATGTGGCATTATCATCCTGGGAAGGGCCCTCATTCAAGCCAGGGAGGCGGTTGAGCTAGAAAGTGGAGTCAGGACCTACCTTCAGAGGACACCTGTGTTTAGGAAGCAGGAGTAAAAGAAATGGTCAGTGCCCTCAGGGGAGCCGGTGGAGAGGTGAGACAGCGTGGGGAGTTGGGGACCGAGGAGACGTGTAAACTAGGAGCCAAAGAATGAACCGTGGCGGATGGCGTTAGGATTTGGCGGGAAGGAGGTGGTGGCTTTGAGAGTGGTTTTGCAGGAGTGGTGTGTGGGGGGCGTGTTTGGGAGTGGATTGGGGGCGTAGAGAGGAGGTGGAAACAGAGGTGTAGGCATTTGTGGGCGAGTTCAGCAGCGGAAGAGAAGAGCGAATCGGTGCCCATGGCCAGGCCGGAGCCATGCTGAGAGCAGGCGGGGCGTGTCCGCGTGGGGCGCAGAGCCTAACCAGCGCCTCACCAGCGCCTAACCAACACCTAACCAGCACGACTGCCGGAAGGGAGCTCCTGCACTTTTTCTTTCTTTTCTTTTAAATCGTCGTCATCTCAGGTATGAGATATAAAGTTTTGTGTAACTTCTGTGACCTCTCCTATTTTGCTCAGATTGGAACTCTGACCAAATGGAAGAGAGTGTTTAGGTCTGTTCGTGACATTCGAGGGGGCTCTTACACCAGGAAAGAGAGTAAATGTGACCAATTTTTGATTTATTCTGACAAATGTGAAAATTTGTTAAATCCTTTAAATGTATAGGACAAGTCGTAATCACGAATAACTTTTTTTTTTCTTTTTGATAAACTGAATAGGGTGGCTAATAGTTTGGCTTCATTTATTTAACATATCATTGAGAAAAGAAAATAGACTCTTAGTATCAGAAGTACTGAAATAATAAATTTTAATTTGGGAGATGAGGGTTGATTTATAACTTCGCACTGCTCGGTTTTGAGGGCTAAGGCATGGTATTTAAAGTGCGAACTTATACAAAGGGTAGGGCGAGCGGATTCCAACTTAAGCCCAAACATGTCCACTTCTGCGGGGACTGGTTTGAAGACCTTGGAAGACCTCAGCACTCTTATCTCTGGTGGCCTTTACTATGTCATATACCAGACATTAAAATTGCACCCATGTCCTGCATGAAATTAGTTTGTACAAAACTATGACTTAAGCTTCATGTGACTAGTCATAGACAAACATTTATTAACTTTGATTTTAGAGTTTTCTTTTCATGTTTTGCATCCAGTCAATATTTTTTTCAGGTTCAAACATTTTCATCAGCCCTTAAGTTGCTCTTAAGCCCTAGGGACTGTGCCCAAGGGCCGAGACAGCCCCGCTCTGCCGGGATAAGTACGGGATAAGTATGCATGTCTGCCGTGGTGCACTTGCCAGGAATCTGTTTGTTGGAGGCTCTAAGCCGCCTCCTGGGAAAACGCCACCCTCAGTAGAGCTGAAGTAACTTTGAGTTAGTGCTTTTTTGGTCGTGAGGAGCAGAGAGAGTAATTTAGAACATTTTAAGAAACAGGATGTGGTGTCAGCACGGTCAGGGACGAAGGCAGCTCAGAGGTGAGCGCCGTCTGCCCTGTAGTCAGCAGGCCTCTCGGCATCTCTTGCCATGTCTTCTCCCCGGCTGGGTCTGCCTCCTCACTGCTGTGGTTTGCTCATGACCTCCAGGTCCTGTTACATCAGAGCCTCAGCTTCACCTCTCACAGCTGATCACCTCGGGCTCAGAATCGGGAATCTGACTTTGTTGCTGCTTTTATTATTGATCCCAGCCACATCAGAGGTCGTGTGATGAAAAGGCCATGTTAAGCTCTCAATGTCTGTCCTTGGTCTCTAACCTGTGGCGAGGTGAGGGCAGTGGCCCTGTGGCCCATGGCAGACTGGGCCTGCCCTTAAAGCTGAGGCATTTCCCATTAGGTGGGGTGCAGGTGAGCAGGCACGAGGTGGGCATGGGTGGTTCAGTAAGGAGGGCACAGCCTGGCCCAGAAGGAGACCCATTCAGACTTCCTCCAGATGTGTTCCTGCTAACAGCCTCCATTTAGGTCAACCCTTTGTTCCCATAGAGAAACTAAAGTCTAAGTATATGGAAAGCATTTCACTTTCCATTTTCTTCCTATTTTATTCAGTCTCTGACATTGCATGGTCACTCAGGGCACTCTGTAGGGTCCTATTTCACATGTTAGTGATTTCTGCTAAACATGATACAGCGACTTCAGGTAGCTGTTAGCAAAGGGGTAATTTAAACCTCGTGTGCTTCACGTAGTTTTTCTCCCTCAAAGTCCTGGGGAACGGTATAGACATTCAGTAATTTAATACCATCCCCAGATTCACGAAATGTAGAACAAGTACTAAATGTCCCATCTGAATGTCAGAATGGTAGCATTTTGATGCCGAAGTCCCTTAATGTGTCGTCATACTTCCTAAGGAAAAGTGAAGTTCCCCAAACTATTTGCAATTATCAAATATAACAGAGGGGGGAGGTAATAGATGGAATAAATAAAATAATGATGGCTAATCTTTGTTGAACCCTTAAAATTTTCCAGGCACTATTTTAAGTAATTCTCATGCATTAACTTGTTTAATCCTTAAACTACCCTGTAAGGGTGTCTTACAGGGTCAGGTGCCTTTGTTACCCCCATTAACTCCATTCTTGACCTCTCCGGGGAAGGTTGCACAGCTAGTAGGTGGTAGTGCCAGGGTATGCACCGGACTCCAGTTTCTGCTCCTCCGCACCCCTCTCGACTGAAACATAAATGAGAAAAAATGCTTGGATTTTTTCTAGGATTCCAGCCCATCTGAGTCAGCTCTCCAGTGTCTGGTACCTGTGAACCTAAAACTCAGTTTGGGTAACATCCCTGCAGGAGGCCAGTTCTGATGCGCTCCTGGAGTGAAGTCGTGCGGGCTGCTGGGTTTTCCTGCCCGGCGTTTCTCATGTTCTCAGCCCCTCTTTGCCTGTACATCCCTGACTCCCATGTATTTATATAAATCCCGTAGGTAGTGGGTCTGCCCCGTCTTCCGAGCTGGGAACGCACATTTATGACAGCCAGTTCTTCAGCAGCTTTGTGATCCTGAGTTTGCCACCGTACAAACCTTCTACTTTTTTCTCTGCATCTCTCCAACCCAGCAGGCTCCAAGGCTTCTATAGCCCTTCAGCCACTGTGGGCCCTCCTCTGCTGCTGCTTCTGGAATGTCTGGGGGGTTTTGACTCCTGGCACTGTGGTAAGTTTTCCCCTTGATTCACCATTTTCCTACATGGAGAATTCCCCTCAAGTATTTCTAAACCGAAGCCATCTCTGGAGTTTTCTGAGCCTGTGCCCGTTGGGGCACAGTGAGGGAGAAAACCCCAGCTGCATGGTTTCCCTGAAGTCTTGCCTCTCTGGCTTTCGTGTTCCCTAGACCTTGGAGGACCCTCCTTATTAACTCTATAAAGACATCAGAGACCTCTTTGTCCCATTCAGAGTTCTTTGTTCCTCTGCAGTTGGGCTTTCTCCCGGAGTTTCTCGGGAGCCATCGCTGTTACAGCGTCACTCTGCCTGTCCCATTTCCCTCAGATGTCGTGGGGGCTTTTTCTGGACCAGAAACCCCGTTTCTGGACTCACGCCAGCCTCTGGTTTTCTTTCCCATTGTTCCTTTAGTCACTGAGATAGCAAACTTTTTTCCAGCTGAGTGCGTTACTCCCTCAGTTCCTGGTGTGTGTTCCCAAAGCCTGAACAACAGCCTGGTCCTTAAATAGGAGGGCTCTGAAGTCCTCAGCCCTGGCGATTGTGGTTTTACGTGAGTCTCTGTGCGCACTTGATTCTGAGAGCCGTCATGTCTATGGTACAAGCATTTTTTCCTTTGAGCCATTGATTTGTGACCATTTTTAAATGATTTTTTTTCTTCAGCTTAACTCAAGAAGAGAACACATGTCTTACATAGGACAGGTATTTATTCATCTTTGTCATTGCCGAAACCCAGAATACTCTAGCCGAATGTGCAGTCTGGGTCTGGTTCACACACCTGACGACATTTTGCATTATTTCCACGCACAGTGAGGAAGCGGAGAGGGGAGAACCCTGTCTCCGTAACCGCTGGACTTGGGGGTGTGCGGGCGGCTTTTTGTCTCTCCCGACTGCCAAAGGTCGACTTCTCACTTCCGGGCTTCTCCCTTCCCCGACTTCACTTTCCCACTGTGTGGAGAGAATTGGGGAGGTAGAGGACATGCTGGTGACCTCCGTCCTAGTGGGCCCAGTTGCTATACCCGGTTAGAAGGCGAAGCCCACGGGCAGGTGGTAGCTTTTCTCTTGCCTAACTTCACATGGCCAGAGCGGGGACGCTGAAGCTGCTCCTGGACGGACCCGCCTGATTTCCAGGTGATGGCCCCGTTGGGAAGTCTGGGCAGGTATGCCTTGGCGTCGTGCAAGTGTTCTCTCTCCTCTCTGTCTCTTTCTGGCTCCATCCTTGCCCGTGCTGCCTTGGGTATCCTCAGCCACCCTGCTTAATATGAGCGATGAGGCCTGAGATATAGGTCCAGTATTTTATGAATTCCCATTCCTTCCAGTGCTCACTTTGGTCTCAAGCTCAAGGTTATCAGTGATACAGGGAAAAGGAGTTCTCCATGTGATCCGGCCGAGCTTATGGAATGCCGCAGCGGGAATTGGAGTCTCAGGCCTAGCTAGTTCAGCCCCGTGCACGATTGATTCCACCTGGAGTATGTAGACGTGAGGGTGGCTGCTGAGACGGCTGGCCGGGTTCGATGCTAGTCTTTGATCCCATGCGTTTCCACAGTCACGCCGACCCCCAACCAGTGCCAGTCCTGCCAAGTCAGCAGCCCAAGCGCCGGAGTTCTGCGCTGTTTGTCGTAACCATCCCTGGCCCTCTTTGAGAGTGGGGTGATGATGAATCTCTGTCCGTGCTAATCCTGACTTCGGATCGCCAGATCTCATCCGATTTCGGGACCTGCGTCGTCCCCGTGTGAGTCTTCGTGTCCGGGAAGCGCTCTTGCACTTGTGCTTCCCGGGCAAGCTGCTCCACAGACCTCTGCCCCGAGCGTGCTTGCTTTGGTTTGCCAAACAGTGCAAGTTATGGGTTGTGACCCAGGTACAAAAATAGTCAGAATCCGAGATATTTAAAGTAGTCAAATTCATGGAAACAGTGGAATGGTGGTTCCTAGGGGCTGCGGGGCGGGGGAGGGGGGTTGGTCCCTGGGTACCGTGTTTCAGTTCTGCAAGATGAAAAGTTCTGGAGGTCTTTTTCACAATGCGAGTATGCTTTTCACACTGCTGGACTAACTACACACTTACAAGTGGTTAAGATCAAATTGCTGTTACGTGGTGGTGGCGGTGGTGTTTTTTAATCACAATTTAAAAAATGCATTTAGAAAAACAGCCAGAATCTCAAATCCCTGACCTTTTGACCTGCCAGCTACTACAATACCCCTACTCCCAATGTCACTGAGGACAGCCTTGCTAAAAATCCACTTTTTATTTTGATTACGATCACCCAGGCCTGACTTTTTCCTTCCCTTAGTTAGCCAGGTTGGGCCCCGTGTGACTTTTCTTTTGCCTCTCCCCAGGGTAACTTGAGCTTTCCAGTGTTTTTTTTTTTTTTTTTCCCTTAGGCCTGAATGTGGATTTTGTCCCTTTGGGCCTTACTGCTCCCAATAGTAGAAGGAGGAAGCAGGTTTAATGAAGGAGAGCCATGCTCACCTGAGCGGTGAGCGTCACTAGAGTTCACCTGACATGAGCCTCCCCTGCTGCCTCCGCACCCCCGCCCCAGCCAGCTCCTGCTGGTCCTCCGAGCTGGAGCTGTCCCCTGGCCCCTTCCCAGGTGTGGAAGGCTGGCCCCTGGAGGAAGACAGATCCAAAGGAGTCAGCCGGGCAGAAGGGGCGGACGAAGGCAAATTCTGCAGGCCAGAGCGCGTTGCTAGCGCACTGACTCTCTGGGCATCCTGATTGTGTCCCGAAAGATTTTTTTTCAGACCCCCAACAGTGTCCCTCCTTCCTGAGGACAGAGTGAATAGTGAGGCATTTAACCCCCGCATTTTGAGAGTGAGAGTGAAGATCTGCACGACTGGCAGTAGGTTTTACTGTCTCTTTTTCATGGATGAGTAAACTGAGGCTGATGGTCACACAGTTATACGGTATCAGAGTAATAATTTGAACTTAGGACTTTTGATTGAAAGTCCTGTGTTCTCACCAAATTATCATGATTCCTAATGCATATGTTTGTTACACATTTACTAGCAAGATAAGATAAACTCGTGCCTCGTATGTGGTATTCACGTATGGGCCATCGCTGAAGCAGCTCACATTCTGTCCCATTACTCAGGCGTTTCTGTATGCCGTGTCGAAGAGCAGGGAAAATGTCGAGTCCCAATTGTGAGGAGGTGTCACTAAAGTCGGATGTATTTTAAAACAGTCCTATAAGTAGAGGGTCAAGAGGGGAACCTTTGGGGCAGAAGCGAGGCGCAGGGGACACTCATAGGGATGGAGGCTGCGCTCGGCTTTGGAGAGGAGGGGCCCTGTGACAGGGAGGTGGGTGGTCAGGTCCTGGGAGCCTGCGCCTGAGCAGTGACGTTCCTGACGAATGAATGAGGGTGTCATGCACTAATTAAAATAGGGAGCCGAGGAGACTCATATTTACTTAGCCTCAGCTGTGCTGTGGGCACTTTCACATTCGTTATCTTCTTTAATTACCACAGCAAAGCTTTACAGACATCATTATCCAGAGTTTCACAGATCAGGCTGAGATCAGCCACGATCACGTAGCGAGTGGCAGAGCCAAGGCCTACACCCCCTCTGTGTCATTCTGTAGGCCTTTTTGTGGGAGGACTTGGCCGAAGGAAAGCAGAGGAATGTACACCTCTGTCATTCTTTATCGCTTTAATAACATACGCAGTTATCCTTCTCAGACTCGAGAAAGCCTGGCGTCATTCCCTCTGTACTTTCTGTCGCTCTTTTCTGGACCTAATTTCATAGTCTTTGTGGTAATTTCTAGTTAAAGAAAAATCAGATGCGTCTTCTTTTATCTTTTACCTTTTCTCCCTAAGGAGTCAGTAGGCCAGGTCGCACGAAGAGCAGTTGTCCTGAGGACAAGGAGCAAGCAGCTCTCTTCCCTGTAGCTCATTAGAGCCCAGAGCCCAAATCCTTAGCTACTGCCCTTAGTTGCGGGAGGTCGGGGAACCTCAGGCACAGTCAGGGCGTGTTGGTGAGCTGCTGCCGAGTGGCCGCCAGCCCTGACTGCCGGACTGTGAGGGGCAGGCCCTGGGCTCCAGCTTCAGCAGTGCGTGGCAGTCTGACGATGGGTGCGGTGCATGAGCACCCGAGCGGGCCCTTGGCTGGATTGGAGCCGGGACCGTGTTCTGTGGCTGGGGTGGTGTTGGGTGCGGTTTGGCCACAGGGATTTAGGCTCAGGCCTTAGAGTACGTGCTTGAGCCACCGTAGGTGAGACTGCCCTCCCGATGTGACCACCTCCAGCTTGCCATGCCTGAGTGAGCCCGGGAAGACGAGGAAGCCCACCTCAGAACCACGGCCTGACCATTGGGCCTCCAACGGTGTTGTCAGCTCAGACCGATGAAGTGTGAGGAGTAGACTAGCTAGAGGCCTTTAGTGGCCACAGTAGAGTGCTTGGGAAGGCAAGGGGGACCTTCCTCCAGAGGCTTTCTGAGAGCCACTCCCAAGGCGAGAGGTCTCGGACCTTGTAAGATGGGGCTTCCCTGTGATCCGTTAGCGTCCAGTTGCCCAGGGAGTGGGAGGAGCAGCTCTGGTATCCAGAAGAGTGGGGTACTCGAAAAAGGGCAGGGACTCTGAAGGGCCTGTTCGGGACATGGGACCGCCCTCGGCAGCCAGGAGGATATCTTCCCGCTGCCAGTGTCTTCTGTTCCAGGACTGATGGTGATGGTAAAAGCAAAATAGAAAGGCTTTGGCATTGTACAGTCCTAATCAATGAGTTACAAGTGACTGCTGTAATGGATTTATTCCGAGACAAATAGCTGAGCAAAAATCAAGTGGACTGGGCCTATGTAGCTTAAGTAGTGAGGTCTTCCTGTACTTTGTCCTGTGTATTTTAGACTGGACGTGTAGTGGAGATCAGCGAGGAGATCGACCCTGCCTGTCGCACGCCCAGATCCTTGAGGCAAACAGGGAGTGGTGGCCTTGCACGGAACAGATAACCTCTTAGCCCTGGTCCTGGGCAGCATGAGGCCCATAAATGGCCTTTCCACTTATTTTTTGCGTGCCAAGGCCTGTAGGAAAAGGCCAAGCACAGGCCTTACTTCCCTTGGTGCTGCATTGCTGCCAAATTAATGTCTGATGGTGTTGATTTGGGGACTTCCTGATAATTTGTGAGGGAGGAGTTCCTGGCTGGGCTGGGAACATGTTCCACGTTCTGTCCTGTGAACAGGGGCATCCATTACGTCCAGGGGGACAGTATACGATAGGGTTGCATGGCCTTGGATCTGGAAATCGAAGTCCTACAAGGACACACTCGCAGATTGCTGTCTGCTGGGGCAGTTTCTGAACCCTTTATACAACGTCTCTCTGGGTAGAGAGTTTTTTCTTGTAGTAGTCACATTTTAAAGTCTTCTGGTGTACAAAACTTGACTTGGAAATTACTTCGGAGGAATTTGGGAGGCATTTTTCTTACATCCAGAATAAAAATGGCTGATGCTGGAAGTTACTAGCTACAAGTCAGTGTTCATCTCAAAGTTTGTTCACTTTTGAGCTTTTAAAAAAAGTGGGCGTAAGATGGAATTTCAACTCCCCCCCCCCTTTTTTTTTCCTCTGGATCCTTTTACACTTTAAAGTGTTAAGGACCCCAAAAAGCTGTCTGTTCACGTGAGTTACAAGCATCAATACCTACCATAATAGAAATGAAAACTAAAAAATATTTATTGACTAATTTATTTTAAAAATGATGGTAAAACCATTACATGTTAACACAAATGACATTTTTATGAAAAACAGCTATTTTCTAAAAAAACATTTAGTAGGCAGACTGGCAATATTTACATTTTGGCAAATGTCTTTAAATGTATGAGGCTTAAATAAGACATCTGCTTCTGTATTCATTCTATTGCAATATGTTGTTTTCATTGAAGTAGATGAAGACATCCGGCCTTGCCCAGATAATGTAGTTGGAAAAGGGATTTTAGTAGCCTTTTCAGATATTGCGAGCTCATCTGTGACACAACACCAGAACCTGACAAGCAGTAGGTTCTTACAGGTGGGCTGCAACACGTGATCTGAAACTGGATCAACGTACTTCTTGTACTCTGGTGCATTGAAGCCACTGGTCGCTCTCACTTTGAATGGCTCTTTTTTTAAATTTATTTTTTAGGCGAGGCAACCCTTGGTTGACCTCACAGATTGCAAGGACCTTGTCAGCTTACAGTCCCTTATTTTTTTATTTTTTACGCCTACAGCACCTAGTCTTCCTAGGTGGTCTCCCATCCAAATACTAACCAGGCCCGACCCTGCTTAGCTTCCGAGATTTGAATGGATCTTCTACCTACAGTGATTTCACTACCACACACATTGGTCCTTTGGAAAACATTGGTTCACTGAGTTACACACATCCTGCCATGTTCACGTTTCATTATGTATAACATCTAGAAAGTCATGTCTCTTAGTGTCACTGTCAACCTCATCAGAAAGTCTTCAAGCGTTGGGAAGCTGCAGAGCTCATGGTGGCAGACACAAGTTTTCCAAAATCCCAGTTTTTGCTTGAAAGCTCGGATTTGACCATTGGCAACAAATACCATCAGTTGTTTCCTGTTAACT